GGGGTCATGGTTCACATCTTCCAATTAACTTGGAAGATGTGATTTACTTCCGGTTTGGGCTATCCTTATTCTCCTCCCTTTTCCCTGTTGCCTGGTTTAACTATAAAAATACCAGACAGTTCTGCATATTGTCAAAGCAAGAATATACAGTATTTGCAGCGTTGACAGAGGTAACCAGTGGAACAACCTGCCACCAGAAGCGGTGAATGCTCCAACACAGAAAGTTTTTAAGAAGAGACTGGGCAGCCATTTGTCTGCAATGGTTATAAGGTTTCCTGCTTGAGCAGGGGGTTGGACTAGATGACCTCCAAAGTCCCTTCCAACTTTATTATTATTATTATTATTATTATTATTATTATTATTATTATTATTATTATTATTATTATTATTATTATTATTCTCCAATATAACCATTATATAAATACAGGTAGTCCTTGACTTACGACCACAATTGGCCCCAAAATTTCTGCTACTAAATGAGACATTTGTTAAGTGAATTTTGCCCCGTTTTACGACCTTCCCTGCCACGCGTGTTAAGTGAATCACTGCACTTGTTAAATTAGGAACACGGCCGTTAAGCGAATCGGGATATCCCACTGACTTTGCTTGTCAGAAGGTCGCAAAAGGGGCGCTGCAACCGCCATTCATATGAGTTAGTTCCCGAGGGTCTTAGTTTTGATCACGTGACCTTGGGGATGCTGCAACGGTCGTTAAGTGTGAAAAACTGGTCATAAGTCACTTTTTTTTAGTGCCTTTGTAGCTTCAAACGGTCACTAACAGGCTGGCCGGTGCATGCACTCACCCCCACTGCTAGCGCCGCCGCTACGCAAACGGGGCACCGCGTGGCAAAAACAGGACGCCGCTAGCGTGCACATGTCAAATACTTCCTCCACCCTTTCCCTCCGGTCCGCCAGGAGACTTCTGATCTAGGCCAGGGGTCCTCAACCCACGGCACCGGGCCCCGGAACGCCAGCAACCGGTCCCCACGAACAAGCAAAGCCCCACCTGTGGGATGCAGGCAGCACACAAAACCACACACTCTCCAGTCCGTGGAAAAACCTTTCTCCACAGAACCGGTCCCTGGTGTCCCAAAAGGTGATGCTTTTAGAGTTAGATGATGCTGGGAGGGGTGGAGGAATGGGCACCAGAGTCTAGGTTGGGGATCTCTGTCTCCCCCAAATTTTAGGAGAAGCTGTTTCATAACGTGGGAAACCCCACCTGGAAGGAATGGGGTGAATACCCTCTTGGGATGGTCCTGAAGAGACACAGGACAAAATCACGCCAAGGCTTCTCTCCCTAATCTTCTCTTTGCTTCTCCTAAGACAGTGATGGCAAACCTTTTAGAGACCGACCCCGCTCCGCCGCCCTATCCCGTGCCCCGCCTGCCCGCAGGGCCACTCACCGCCTCCAGGGCCCACCGCAGATCGCCCAGGCAGCCCAGCAGCGCTACGGCGGCCACGCCCTCTGCCCGCGCCCTGCAGCATCAACTGTGCATGGTGGGGCGTGAGGGCAGAGTCTTGTCTACGCTGCCTGGCTGCCATGTCCTTGGCTGCGCTGCTCCGCATGGGGAACACTCACGGGCGACTCTCCTTCAGGGGGGGCTGCTGGAAAGGGGGTCACGGGGGGAGGCAAGGCTGGGGCAACGGCACGTGTGCCCACAGAGAGGGCTCCGAGTGCCGCCTTTGGCACCCGTGCCATAGGTTCGCCACCACTGTCCTAAGGTTACAGACTTACAGCCGTTCGTTTAGTGACCGTTCGAAGTTACAACGGCACTGAAAAAAACTCGACTCAGGACTATTTTTCATACTTATCACCACTGCAGCCTCCGCGGAGTCACGGGATCAAAATTCGGCCGCTTGGAAACTTGGCACGTACGCGTTGACGGTTGCAGCGTCCAGGGGTCACGTGATCCCCTTTTGCGACCTTCGTCCAACGGGGAAGCCACATTCGCGTTAACAACCGCGTTACTCATTTAACCACTGCAGGGATTCACTTAACAGGTGTGGGATTCACTTAACAGGTCACAAAACGGGGCAAAATCCATTTGATTCTCATTTAGCCATGCGTGATTCATTTAACAACTGTGGCAAGGGAGGTCGTAAAATGGAGCACGGTTCAGTTAAACACTGTCTCGCTGAGAAGCGGAAATTCCGGGCTCCATTGTGGCCGTGTCGTTTCCTCCTTATTTATTTATATTTTAGGTGCTGGTGTCACAATATCAAGATAAGACGACAACAGAACACAAATCAACTAGATCAATTCAGGAGATAGATAGAACTACGTCCAACAAGGGGTCCCACCAAAGCCAGTTTTTAAGGCCTTCCTGTAAGTCAATGTCCCTCAACCGTCGCCCTTTTAAGACGGGTGGACTTCAACTCCCAGAATACCCCAGCCAGCTAATGCTGGCTGGGGTATTCTGGGAGTTGAAGTCCACCCATCTTAAAAGGGCGACGGTTGCGCCCTCACGGTGGGATCTTGTTCCCAGCAAGGACATGATCCCATCCCGCGCGCTCTCTCTCTTTCCAAACACCCCCATCAGGAGATTACCTGGATCTCTTTCAAGTCCTTGTCGCACAAATTCTGAAGGGGATCGATGAAATTCTGCTTGACCTCGATGTCCAGAGAATCCTTCACTTCGGCCAGACGCTTCATGGATTCACCGGCGTCCAGCAGGGCATCGCCTTCATCCATGGGGAGAGAAGAGCAGAGACGTTGGGAAAGGGATCAACTGATCCTTAGGAGCAATCCATGTTCATGCCTCAAGGGATTTACCTTCAGAGGCTTGGCAACGGGTTCACACTTAACGACCGTTGTTGTGTCCCACGGTCACATGATCGCCTTTTGCGACCGACAATCAGAGTCAATGGGGGGAGCCAGATCCACTTAACAACCGTGACTAATTTAACAACTGCAGTGATTCATTTAACAACTGTGGCAAGAAAAGCCGTAAAATGGGGCAAAACTCACTTAACCAGTGTCTCACTTAGCAACATAAATTCTCGGCTCAGTTGTGGTATTTTTTCCACACATATTATTTTGCCTAGATGGGAAGTCAGGCTGTGGATGAGTTTGCTAGATAAATATGGAATTGTGTAGAAGGAGAAGTCAAGAGAATGGGCCACGTATAAATAGTCTCTCCTCTCCTTTTTCTGCACAACAGCTAGCTCTAGTTTTCTTTTCTCCAGCTGATCATTATAAATGAATTAAAAGTCCTGATTTAAAACAGACACTCACACACACACACACACAATCCGAGCTCCACAAAAGCCCTTGCTGCAACTCTTGAAAACCCACCAAAGTGGCCACGAAACTGTACATGTTTAGCCACCTAAGGAATCATCATACCAACCGCAGTTAAATTACAATTTCGTGTAGATTTAATTCATTAATTTAAATTCAACCCAATGCCATTTTCGGTTCTCCCCGGCCCCTTATGCAGAGCCTATATTTTGGAATACATCGTTCCAAAATTCAAGATGCTTCTGAAAGTCCACCACATCTGGAGCACATCAGCTGGCACCAAACAGGCCCGGTGCAAGCCAGCAGCGTACGCTGGAATGTCTGGCTGTTTTGCAGAATGTATCCAAGTGTTACAGACCACGATCCAAAGTGCGTACAGTATCTTAAAATGAAACCAGGAGTCAGCTCAAGTACAGTTAGCAGGCATTGGGAGGAAGGGGGAAGGGAAGGAAAGGAAGGAAGGAAGGAAGGAAAAATAGAGGGGAGGGGAGGAAAAGAGAAAGGAAAGGAGAGGAGAGGAGAGGAAAGGAGGAAGGGAAGGAGAGGAGAGGAGAGGAAAAGAGAAAGGAAAGGAGAGGAGACCAAAGGAAAGGAGAGGAGGAGAGGAGAGGAGATGAAAGGAGGAAGGGAAGGGAAGGAAAGGAAAAGAGAAAGGAACGGAAAGGAGAGGAAAGGAGAGGGGAAAGAGGAAAGGAAAGGAGGAAGGAAAGGAGAGGAGAGGAAAAGAGAAAGGAAAGGAAAGGAGAGGAAAGGAGAGGAGACCAAAGGAAAGGAGAGGAGGAGAGGAGAGAAGATGAAAGGACGAAGGGAAGGGAAGGAAAGGAAAGGAAAGGAGAGGAAAAGAGGAAAGGAAAGGAGGAAGGGAAGGAGAGGAGAGAAAAAGAGAAAGGAAAGGAGAGGAAAGGAGATCAGGGCTCAGTGGAAGCGCCAGGATCAGCACAAGGCTCCAGCTGGAGCTCGGCACTGATCCTGGCGCTTCTGCTGAGCCCAGAAGCAGCTCCGATCAGCTGGAATGTTGCAGCATCTCCAGGGTCTTGTGATTTACATTCAGATGCTTGGCAACTGATTCATATTTATGACGGTCACAGTGTCCCAGGGTCATGTGAAGTGACCAAAACCTGCTGCAACCACCCAGCAGACGGGGGGAATAAA